CAGAAGGATGGATGGGAGGATGATAGAACAGAAGGACAAACCATAAGATGGATGGATGGATGGATGGATGGATGGATGGACAGATGAAGAGAGGGATTAACAGACAGAAGGATGGATGGATGGATGGATGGATGGATGGATGGATGGATGGATGGACAGATGAGGGGATGGTAGAACAGATGGACAAACCAAAAGATAGATGGATGGATAGATATATGGATAGACAGATGGAAGGATGGATGAAGAGACAGACAGACTGAAAGACAGATGGATGGATGGATAGACAGATGGATGGATGGATGGATGGACAGATGGAAGGATGGATAAACGGTCGACAGACTGAAAGATAGATGGGTGGATGGATGGATGGATTGACAGATGATAGAGAGGGATTAACAGACAGAAGGATGGATGGATAGATAGACTGATGGACGGATGAGAGGAAGATAGAACAGATGGACAAACCAAAAGATAGATGGATGGATAGACATATAGATGGATGGATCAAGAGATGGACAGACTGAAAGATAGATGGGTGGATGGATGGATTGAGAGATGAACAGATGGAGGGAAGGATGGCAAGATGGACAGACGGATGAAGAGAGGGATTAACAGACAGAAGGATGGATGGACAGATGGACGGATGAGAGGATGATAGAACAGATGGACAAACCAAAAGATAGATGGATGGATAGACATATAGATGGATGGATCAAGAGATGGACAGACTGAAAGATAGATGGATGGATGAACTGACAGATGAACAGATGGAGGGATGGATGGCAGGATGGATAGATGGATGAATAAAGAGATTAACAGACAGAAGGATGGATGGATGGATGGATGGATGGATGGACAGATGGAAGGATGGATGGACAGATGGAAGGATGGGTAGATGGATAAAGGGATGGATGTTTGGATGAATGGATAGATGGATAGAGGGATGGATGTTTGGATGGATGAATGGATGGATGGATGGGTGGATGGATGGATAGATGGATGGGTAGATGGATGGATGGATGGATGGATRGATGGATGGGTGGGTGGATGGATGGATGGATAGATGGATGGATGGATGGATGGATGGATGGATGGATGGATGGRTGGGTGGATGGATRGATAGATGGRTGGKTGGATGGATGGATGGATGGRTGGATGGATGGATGGATGGATGGATGGRTGGATGGRTGGRTRGATGGATGGWTRGATGGATGGKTGGRTGGRTGGATGGGTGGRTGGATRGATGGATGGGTAGATGGATGGATGGATACTACAGCACTGTATTTGGAGATCTCGGGACGATGACCATAAGAAAAAAATATAAGATAGATGGATGGATGGATGGACAGATGACCAGATGGAAGGATGGATGGATAGAAGAATGAACAGAGGGATCGACAGACAGAAGGATGGATGGATGGACAGATGGAAGGATGGTTAAACAGATGGACAGAGTGAAAGATAGGTGGATGGATGGATGGACTGACAGACAGGTAGTTGGATAGACAGATGGATAGATAGAAAGAAAGAAAGATAGATAGATAGATAGATAGATAGATAGATAGATAGATAGAGCCTCCCTGAGACGATGCCTAGCTTTGTGGTTTCCACACTTTGAAGCCGTGACGAAGCGTTTGTGGAGTGGGGCGGTTGCAAGGACGCCTTTCCAAAACACACGGGAGGAAAAGCAAACGTGCGAGAGAGAGAGAGAGAGCGAGCCAAATGAGTCACATTTCCCGTCAGAGCCCTGCGTGCAAATCCCACGCCTCTGGGTGAGAAACCATGAGACGTAGCCGTGGGCAGGGGAAGGGGTCAGGCCTGCCACCGAGAAAGGTCGCCCAGCTTGGGTATGAAGTTTCCAGTAAACAACATATTATTATTATTATTATTATTATTATTATTATTATTATTATTATTATATTCAGATTAATAATTCCTATGAAGGCTCCAGTAAAAAATGTAATAAAATTATTATTATTATTATTATTATTTTCAGATTGATAATTCCTATGAAGGTTCCAGTAAACAACATAATAGAATTATTATTATTATTATTATTATTATTATTATTATTATTATTAGACTGATAATTCCTATGAAGGCTCCAGTAAACAACATATTATTATTATTATTATTATTATTATTATTATTATTATTATTATTATTTTCAGATTGATAATTCCTATGAAGGTTCTAGTAAACAACGTAATAGAATTATTATTATTATTATTATTATTATTATTATTATTAGACTGATAATTCCTATGAAGGCTCCAGTAAACAACATATTATTATTATTATTATTATTATTATTATTATTATTATATTTAGGTTGATAATTCCTATGAAGGTTCCAGTAAACAGTATAATAGAATTATTATTATTATTATTATTATTATTATTATTATTATTATTATTATTATTTTCAGATTGATAATTCCTATGAAGGTTCCAGTAAACAACATAATAGAATTATTATTATTATTATTATTATTATTATTATTATTATTAGACTGATAATTCCTATGAAGGCTCCAGTAAACAACATATTATTATTATTATTATTATTATTATTATTATTATTATATTTAGGTTGATAATTCCTATGAAGGTTCCAGTAAACAGTATAATAGAATTATTATTATTATTATTATTATTATTATTATTATAATAATAGTATAAATGTACCCACTATAGAATTATTATTATTATTATTATTATTATTATTATTATTATTATTATTATTATTTTCAGATTGATAATTCCTATGAAGGTTCTAGTAAACAACGTAATAGAATTATTATTATTATTATTATTATTATTATTATTATTAGACTGATAATTCCTATGAAGGCTCCAGTAAACAACATATTATTATTATTATTATTATTATTATTATTATTATTATTATTATTATATTTAGGTTGATAATTCCTATGAAGGTTCCAGTAAACAGTATAATAGAATTATTATTACCCTAAGATCTTCCGGAGAGTCCCTTCTCTCTATCCCTCCAGCTTCAGAAGTGCGGCTGGCGGGAACGAGAGATAGGGCCTTCTCTGTGGTGGCCCCTCGGCTTTGGAACGCCCTCCCTATAGAGGTACGATCAGCCTCGTCGCTGATGGTGTTTAGGAAGAGACTCAAAACATGGTTATTCAAACAAGCATTCGGCTAATCTGTGGCAATTAAATCGAATCTTGGTGACTATGGACAGGAAATATGGACAACGAACTCTGGATTGTGATTTTAACTTGAGATATATGGGATTATTATTGGTGGCCCAATAATTTGTTATTGTATATGTATATGTTTTTATATGTTTTTAAATTGGAGATTGTTTTTAATTGTTGTAAACCGCAGTTGAGTCGCCGATTCAGGCTGAGAAATTAGCGGTATACAAGTGTACCAAATAAATAAATAAATAAATAAATAAATAAGATCGACAACAAGTTACACAAATTGGTCGGAAGTTCACTCCAACCCGGGCTGGCTTCAAACTTATGACCTTTTGGTCAGGTTGCTCCATAATCGAGGGGCCACCACTGAAAAAATATTGAATAAAAATATTGAATAAAATAAAATAAAAATATTGAATAAAGATAAAATAAAAACATTGAATAAAAATACAATAAAATATTGAATAAAAATAAAATAAAAATATTGAATATAAATTAAAAAATATTGAATAAAAATACAATAAAATGTTTAATAAAAATATTGAATAAAAATATGAATTAAAAATAAAATAAAAATATCGAATTTAAATAAAATGAAAACATTGAATTAAAAATATTGAATAAAAATATTGAATAAAATAAAATAAAAATATTGAATAAAGATAAAATAAAAACATTGAATAAAAATACAATAAAATATTGAATAAAAATAAAATAAAAACATTGAATAAAAATACAATAAAATATTGAATAAAAATAAAATAAAAACATTGAATAAAAATACAATAAAATATTGAATAAAAATAAAATAAAAACATTGAATAAAAATACAATAAAATATTGAATAAAGATAAAATAAAAACATTGAATAAAAATACAATAAAATATTGAATAAAAATAAAATAAAAACATTGAATAAAAATACAATAAAATATTGAATAAAAATAAAATAAAAACATTGAATAAAAATACAATAAAATATTGAATAAAGATAAAATAAAAACATTGAATAAAAATACAATAAAATATTGAATAAAAATAAAATAAAAACATTGAATAAAAATACAATAAAATATTGAATAAAAATAAAATAAAAACATTGAATAAAAATACAATAAAATATTGAATAAAAATAAAATAAAAACATTGAATAAAAATACAATAAAATATTGAATAAAAATAAAATAAAAACATTGAATAAAAATACAATAAAATATTGAATAAAAATAAAATAAAAACATTGAATAAAAATACAATAAAATATTGAATAAAGATAAAATAAAAACATTGAATAAAAATACAATAAAATATTGAATAAAGATAAAATAAAAACATTGAATAAAAATACAATAAAATATTGAATAAAAATAAAATAAAAACATTGAATAAAAATACAATAAAATATTGAATAAAAATAAAATAAAAATATTGAATTAATAAAATAAAACAATATTGAATAAAAATATGGATTAAAAATAAAATAACAATATCGAATTTAAATAAAATAAAAACATTCAATTAAAAATAAAATAAAAACATTGAATAAAAAATAAAATAAAAAATATTGAATTAAAAATAAACTTAAATTAAAAAAATAAAGTAGCAAGCTGCGTCTACACTTGAGAACTATCCCAGTTTGATCCCACTTCAATGCTATGGGATTATACGAGCTGCAGATTGGGGCAAACTCTTGGCTAGAGGAAGGGAGAAACTTTGCCAAACTTTGCCAAACTTTGTCAAACTCCCAGGAATCCCACAGACTTGAGCCAGGGTTAAAACCACATTAATCCCCCAGTGTAGATGAGATATAAGCTGTTCCCTTACCTGGAGGAAGAGCAAAGGCAGCCAAAGCATGGAAGAGGAGGAAGGAGAGCAAAGGGAAGAAGCCATCCTTGAAGCAGAGAGAAAAGGAGCGGGGCCCTTTAAGGCTGGAGCCAAAGGGGGCGGGGCAAGGGACGGGGCCGGCAGGAAAGACACGCCCCCTGGAGGAGCAGTGCTGCTATTACAAGGTATTATTATTATCATCATTCTGTTATTATAATATAATATAATTATTATATGTATGCAATGCTGTTGGAATTTATTTATTATTATGCATTGTTGTTGTTATCATGATATAGTCTTGTTTATTAATTTATTGTTGTTAATATCTATTATTATTATTATTATTATTGATATTGTGTTTATTTATTATTATGCATTGTTCTTCTTATTATTTGAATTATTTGTTTTTATTTATTATTTATTATTATGCATTATTGTTATTATCATATATTATTGTCTATCTATTATTATTATTATATTTATTATTATTATTTTATTGTCTATCTATTATTATTTATTATATTATAATATTATTATTATATTTTATTATTATATTTTATTATTGTTATTATTATATTTATTATTATTTTATTATTATTTTATTGTGTCCCTATTATTATTTTATTATTATATTATTTTTATTTTATTTTATTTTTATTATTATTGTCTATTATTATTATTTTTATTTTTATTATTATTATTATTATTACTATATTTATTATTATTATTTTATTGTTTATTATATTATTATTATATTATATTATTGTTATATTATATTTTATTATATTTTATTATTATTTTATTTATTTTATTATTTTTATTATTATTATATTATTTTTTATTTTTTATTATTATTTATTATTATTATTAATTTTATTATATTATTATTTTATTTCTATTTATTATTATTTTATATTTATTTTTATATATTTAATTATTATTATTTTATATTATTTTATTTGTCTCTATTATTATATTTATTATTATTATCATATTATTGTTATTTATTTTTTATATTATTGTCTATCTATTATTATTTATATTATTATTATTATTATTTTATTATTATTATTTATTATTATATTTATGCATTATTGTTGTTATTAGTATTTATTTATTATTATTATTTTGTTTATTTTTGTTTATTATTATGCATTGTTGTTATTATTATGATGCATTATTGGTTTTTATTTGTTATGCTTATTTAATATTATGCATTATTATGTTGTATTATTTATTTATTATTATTCTGTTTATTATTATTATGCATTGATATTTTTATGTGTTTATTATTATGCATTGTTATTATTATGCTATATTATTATCTATTTATTATTATGTTTATTATTATTCATTATTCTTGTTGTTATTATGCTGTATTATTTATTAATTTTATTCTGTTTATTATTATTATTATTATTATTATGCATTGTTGTTGTTATTATTCTATATTATTATATATTTATTATTATGTTTATTTATTCATTAATCTTGTTATTATTATGTATTATGTATTATTATTTTGTTTATTCATTATTATTATTATTTATTATTGTTATTATTATGTATTTATTATTACGTTTATTATTATTATTATTATCTATTTATTATTATGTTTATTTATTATTATTCATTATTCTTTTTGTTATTATGCTGTATTTATTATTATTTATTTATTTTAATTTTTTGCATTATTGCTGTTATTACTGTGTATTATTTATTGTTTTTATGTTTATTATGCATTGCTGTTATTATTATGCTATATAATCTATTTATTATTATTTTTATTTATTTTTATTCATTATTCTTGTTATTATCCTTGTTATTATTGTTGTTATTCTTATGTTTATTTATTTCTCGCTTTTTTCCTGCTCCTATTATTATTATTATTATTGTTGTTGTTGTTGTTGTTGTTGTTGTTGTTGTTGTTGTTGTGCTATTTTTTTTATTCTATTACACTATGATGCAACACAACTTTTGTGATCAAGGTCATTTCCTAATTGGCCCTAACATAAAAACATGGGAAAGGTTAATTAAACTGCATTAAAAAATTGCGGAATGACATTCTGCTGTCGTCTTCTTTCTAAGCTATTTTCCCATCGAGGGATTGGCATTGTGACTATAGTTTCCACAGGGTTTTGTATTGGGCCTCCTCAGGTCTCAGGATGGTAGAGCAGATGTCTTCATTGATGGTGTCCATCCATCTTTTTTTGGCCTTTGTCCACATGGTCATCGTCCCGAGATCTCCAAATGCAGTGCTGTAGTATCCATCCATCCATCAATCCATCAATCCATCCATCCATCTACCTATCCATCCATCCATCCATCCATCCATCCATCCATCTATCCATCCATCTACCTATCCATCCATCCATTTATTTTTATTTATTTATTTATTATTTGCATTTGTTAACCGCCACTCTCAGCCCGAAGGCGACTCGTGGCGGTGTACACAACATAGAACATAAAGACAACAATTACAATAGATTAGGGCTAAACA